GCTGAGCTCAAGCACTTGTGCCAGCTGAGGATACTCCATGTGCATAAGCTCCAGAGGGCTCCCGGTCGGTCTGAGGCGGCTGAAGTGGCACTTGCCAGCAAGATGAGCCTCAGGGAGCTCGCGCTGTCATCCAGCGACGACACTGTCAGTCTGCCGCACACACCAACGGCGGTCAGGAAGATTGAGGATGTGCTGGAAGAGCTCAACCCTCCACCGTGCCTCGAGTCGCTAAAGATTGCTGGCTATTTTGGAGCCAAGTTCCCCAGCTGGCTCTCAGACATTTCCCTCCCAAATCTTCGCCGCCTCGACATCATCGGGTGCAACTTGTGCCAGTCCCTCCCTCCACTAGGCCTGATGCCAGAGCTGAGATCGTTGAGCATTGTCGATTCTTCAGCTCTCACGTCAATCGATGCAGAGTTCATGGGCAAATGCCACCACCCTGAAGTACCTTTTCCAAAGCTCGAGAACCTGCGCTTGCAAGGATTACCTAAGCTTGAAACATGGATGGATATCGAGGCAGGAACGTTGCCCTCTTTGCAGGCGATGCAACTCGAGAGCTGCCCTGAGCTGCGACGCCTGCCTGGCGGCCTCAGACACGCGACATCCTTGGTGGAGCTGCGCATAGTGGACATGGCGAGTCTCGAGGCTGTGGAGGACATTATTGCACTGAGAGAATTGAGCGTTTGGAACGCACCTGATCTGAAGAAGTTATCAGACATGCCTTCCCTTGAAGACCTTAGCATATCCCACTGCCCAGTGTTGCAGACTCTGGAGAACGTCGACAGCCTGCGAGCAGTGCACATATTTGATCATCAGTTGCAGGAGATCCCAAGATGGATCGAGGCACGTGCGGCAAAGCTGCGCTCGCTGGATGTCACAAGCACGATCAAACTGCTCAAGAGGTGCCTGGTGGATGGCCCAGACTGGCCCCTGATCAAGGACATTGTACAGGTACACGGGTCGACGACTGGTTCCGGTGATTACATATACTATTCCAAGAGCCCTTACATCTTCGATAGCAATGTGAATGCTCAAGGAAACGTTGAAACTGCTGCTTCTGATAGTGCTGACGAGGCGTCGGCAGAAAACAGAAATGCCAATCAAGATGTTGGGGTTACAGCTTCAGGTACTGGTTATATGCACATCAGTGGCTTCTTCGACTCAAAAGCAGTGAAAAAAGGAGCTCCCATGGCTGAAGGAAATGTGACCCATAGGAACACAGAAAGGAGAAATAGCCAACGTCGCATGCATAAGCTGGCAGAAGTTATTCCTGAGGAGGGTGAAGCTGAGGAAGATGCAGATTCAGTTGTGCTCTTTCCTGATCATCGAGCTAAATCACATTCACGAGTGGAGAAACAGCGTCCTGTTGTTAAAGATGATCGTAGTGGCAATAACGATACAGGCTTGCTGTCAAAAGTTACCCCTCAAGAAACTGGTCCTGATGCAACTAGGCGAAGAAGGTCAAAGATGGGAGAGGATGTTCATACTGATGCTGGCGCTGCTGGGGATTCTTCTGTTAGCAAATCTGCTGCTGCAGTTGGTCATAACTTGGTCCGTGAAGGATCTCGAGTAATCAACTGTACTGAAACTGATCAAAATTCAAACATCAGTGTACGTCAAAGCAAGGAATGCACATTGAATAAAGGAGAGGACTTTGCTAACATCAGTAAACAGACCAGGAGGGTTCATGACACTGCAAGTAAGGTGCCAACACAAGTAGTTGGCAGTGACTCTAAAGTATTTGGTAATGATAAAACTGAAAATAGTTCACCTGCTATCATGGCTCGCTCCAGGCAAGTAACATTCAACATAAGAGAAGACGATCATGCTGACGCCGATGTACATTCACCGAACACAATTAATCAGAAGAATGTCGGCAAGGTAAAAGTGACAACAACTTCTGCAAGTGCAAGCACAAATGCGACAACAATGCCAGAAATTCCAGCAGACAGAGAAGTGGCACCAAAATCTGTTGGCACTATTGATAGCAGTTTAATCCTTGAAGTTCATCACACAGTAAGTATTACTAAAGATTCTACTTGTACTGGTGTTGATAACACTGGTGGTCATATGGAGGACAGGAGCATCAGTTTGCCAGCCAATCCAAATCATGAAGAATCTAAAGCATGCATCGCTACTGAAACCACGTGCGATTCAGAGCCTTGCATGTTGCCTGCAAGTTTAGCCTGGCGCAAGCAACGGGGACTGAAGAAGCAAGAAGCCAGTTTCGCAGGTGCAGGCGGTGGCATAGGCGCATCCATCAAGAAAATTCCTCGCATGACAAACAAAACCTCGGAGAAAGTTACCTACAAAAGCAAGGCTGGGCCAATGGAGCATCCATCTACTGGAGCATCCAAGAACACCGATCCACATTCGAACCCCGCGTGCACACCGTATTGTGCCATTGGTACAACTGAAGCAACCATGGCATACAGACACCACACCAGCAGCTACGCTGACAACGACAATGCTCATTTCTCCATCGACATCAAGGCCGACGACTCGCATCAGGCACCAAAGGTGTACACCGCCATTTGGGCCGACACCGACACGGACACCCTGCGAGCTCGGTTCCTCAGCTCGATGCAGCACCACCACAGGATGGCCTCCCGCCGTCGCCATCGCCACCGTAGGGCGAAGCACGGCTCTGGGAACACGTGGAGCATCAGCCCGGTTTTGGTGGTCGTCCTCCTTGTCGTCTCTGTGGCGCAGCTTCTGTTCATCATCTGGATGTACCGCAGGCTCCTGAACCAAAAGTAGGCGGCCAACATGTTAACTCCAGTTCTGCACTTGTAACATTCCTGCCAAGAAATGCTAATACTTTGCTCCTTTCTGGTGTCTCACTTGTTGTTATCTTTTGCTTTCTGCTTGTTTGTGTTGAACTCCGTTGGGGCTGCATCACGCTAATTCGCTTAATTGATTGGAAGCAAGCAACGCTGCTGCGATTGTCCAGGATAAAGTATAAACACATTCCTGCCAAGAAATGCTAATAGTACTATCTTGTGCTCTTGCGGTTTTGCATCAGATTGATCTCTTAAGATTTGGAATGTAGGAGTATGATTAATCGTAGCCTCATTATGTCGTACTAGTCTTAACCTTTTTTTAGTGGATATTAGTCTTAACTCGTAAGAGCAGGCCTTTGGCAAGAAGGCGGTAGCGGGCTGCGCCTAGTGATTTTATCCCCAAAAATTCTGGCGGGAGCGCTTGCATTTTTAAGAACTTTGGCGCCAACAAATTTGGGCGGACTCTAGTCTCGTCTAGTCCAGTACAGCACTCGTACTCTATCTACGAGAGAAAGGAGAAAGGAGAGAGACAGAGGACCAAAATCTTGGGGAGGCGGAATGAGGAAGCAGAATAAGAAGACGTACCCGAGCAGGATCCGATCGTCCGGCGGCCAGACCACCCTGCAATCGTTCCTCGTCAAGCCCAGGTGGAGGGGAATCTTTTCCTCTTCCGAAATTTGCTCCATCTTGGATCTCTGCTTCTCTAACCCTTGCCTTCGTTTCTTGGATCCTCCAGAGTCGCCGATGGGGAACAAAATCCCTACCCGCCGGTAGCGGAGGACGGTGAGATTCCGAACTCCCCGCCGGCGCCGCCGAAGCGGGAGATCGTCAGGGTCACCAAGAAGACCATCAGGGTATCAATCGTTCTGCCCTTGTTCTTCCCCCTTACGTCACGCTTCTCCGTTCTTGATGGCGGCGGGACCTGGCAGGAGAAGGCGAGCGCGTTCTCGTCGGTGGGCTCCTCGGCGAAGCGCGGGGCTGGCGCGAGCGCTCTGGACGCGGCGGTGTTCAAGCGGTTCAACGGCTTGTCGCCCCCAGCGGCGAGAGCTGGCGGTGGCGCCGCCGCTGCGGAGGCGGGGGGCGACGCGGACGACGGCGATGGCGGCGTCCGGCTCGACGTCGAGGACATCGCGGCGGGGGGCCGCCACTGGGAGTCGCGGAAGCGGAAGAGCCCCTTCGGTGCGTGCGCCCTCCATTTGCAGAGTTACTCTTCATGCTATCACGGCACTGATCTCACTCGCCTCTTCCCTAGGAGGCAACGAGGGGCGCACGAGCAGCAACGCCGGGCACGTGGTGGTGCTCGGGGACGACCCGAAGCCGAGGCCGCCGGCGACGAGGAGGGGGAGGGGAAGGGGAAGGCTCGCTGGCCGCGGCGAGGGCAGCCGTGGCCTGTACAACCACTGTAAGATGATCTCTCGCCGAATTCATTCTGTGTCGAGTAAACGGTGGGGAGCGATGAGCTGAGCTGATTGGTGGTGCTTTTGGCTGCCTGCCAGACGCGAGCGGCGGTGGGCTGTGGGAGGGCGAGCAGGAGGGCGTCGACGGCGAGGAGGTCGGGTGGACCGATGACATGTGGGAAGGCATGGGCTCCATCACGCTCGGCGGCATGGAGTGGCACTAGCTAAGCTTCAACAGCCGCCGCAGAGCTTGCATTCGACTCGAATGTCAGTCAGACCCCAGTTTGCAAGATGTGATGTGTAATGTAAAATTCCATGAAAACAGTCTAGTTTATTCGAATTCCAGACGACGTTATCCTGCGTTAAAATGTTCCTGCAATTCATTATGGAAATAAGACGGAACGCAGAGTTGAAAACCGTGTGGCTTTGGAGAATGGCTCGTGAGAAAAATCATGTCAAAAATTTCCAAGTACATTCTCGATCATCAATCAGATGCCAAAAATAGTTTATGGTGCCTCATGGAAAACATAATCATAAAGTACATAAATTGTCGACTGTTACAATGCTTTCTTGCTATTGATTACTAGACCCCTATCCCTACGGGATTACGGGTGTATCAAAAAGCTTTACTGATGTTGAAGAGTTCCTCAGGGACGCAGTCAATATGCCCCGGCCTCCGGGTATGGCCCGTCTACAATTGGGTTGATACCTGCGCCTGTGCTTGGTTATCCTCTGCACCATGTTTTCTGCTGGGGCATCAAACCAGTAAGTATAGTTTTGTTCTTTCCTGAAAATGATCAAGCTAGGTTTCAGCTGGTGCTCATAGCTCGTCTTTCGAGTCCTGGCTTGAGTCTTCATGATCAGGCTTTGGTGCATCAGACTCAGAGGATGGGGGAGTGGCCTCTGCAATCTCCTCCACATTCTCCCCCAAGATGCGCGCGGTGAAGTGCCTAGCTTCAGCGTCGAAATCAACCCACTCTGGAACTATTCTCTTAGCACCCTGGAGAGTGCGAGGAAAATATTATGAATAGCCAAACCTTTAGTGCTACACTAAAGCAATAGGGAACAGATCATGGCAAATCACAATTTTACCTGAAGCTTTGGTTCCTTTGTCATTGGATTGTTGCAAAGATCAATGGTCTTTGCTCTTGCCTTTGTGGCATTTCCACACCAGGATTCACACCATAGCCATTCTTGTGGGAGTGAGAATATGGGCACAGTATGTTGAGCATAATTTGGGAGATCCTGGATAAAAGTGCTACAAGTAAGCATTGCACTCATCTTCACTTATATGACTATTTTGTAGTCTGGAGCTTGGTTCTACATATAGCATTCTACTGTTGGAAACAGAAACCAGCTCATCCCGATGCAAGTTGAAAATGGTAACCACTAGAAAAATATTGCACCTATATTATTATTATTATTCGAGCTTTCATGAATACAAAGAACTGATATGGCTACGGAACTTGCCTCTTGCAATGCAGCTTTTTAACTTTCAAATTAAATATTTGAATTATCAATATAAATTGATCTGAAGGACTGGAGTATCACCAAAGAACTAGCTATGGACAGGGGTGCGTGGAAGCTTGCTATCCATGTGCCAGAACCATGAGTTAGTCGCGAGATCTGATGGGTTTCGCCTCTAGCCTACCCCAACTTGTATGGGACTAAAGGCTTCGTTGTTGTTATTGTTGTTGAATTATCAATATAAATTCAATTAAAAACGATAATTGCACATATACATATTGCGCGAAATCATGTTTGAATCAAATAATGAAGTTATATCTTTCAAGATTGGGCCTTTCCAAGAAATCCAGTTCATCAGCAACATGAACTCTGGTCTGTAGACTGTAGCAGTGAAGCCACTAATCATGCAGCACTGGCCTGTGAGGCTGTGACCCACTCCATCAAATGTTACGCGTAAAGGGGAACAAATAGATGTACCTGATCAAGGTTTGATAGACTATTGGGGTCCTTGCTGAGTGTTTCATAAACAACTCGTAGATTGTCCCCAGCAGCAGTTTGTCGAAATTTCGCCAAATCAACAACATAAAGGGCACTGAAACAACGATCATGTTACAAAATAACAGCAATAATCTATTTAAGCATACTTGATGCAACAGATCAACAACCTGATATGGTATGGTCTTCCTCGCAAATGATCTTTCCAGAAACCCTTTAAACACACGGGAAAAAGAACAGGAGTCAGCAGACAACTTGAGAACATCTTTAACCTGCCATGAATAATCGGGTCTACAGCAGTAGTATGGTTTGTGCTAAGTTGGTAACTAACTTGTTTCCAAAATCGGTAGCCATCCATCTCCTTGTTGTTATCACAGAATGGTGTATACGCAAGGGGACGGCCCTTCAGATCCATGTCATACAGTTCTCCCATGTCTGTTCTCACAATTTGATCAGCATCAACAAAAATAACCTATTTACAAAGCATCAGAAAAAGAATACCATTAGAACTCAATCAGGCTATAACTGCTTCTACCTACTGAAGAACATGGTTACATGAAGCAGGATCATAAGGTAATTGTAATATAGACAAAAGTACCTTCCTCAGCGAAAGTGGAAATATAACATCCAGAAACAAGATTTTATATGCCCATATAATTCGTTGCTTCTCTTTCTGTTTGTGCAACCATGTTGGCCATTTATACGTGATAAGCTCATACTCGAATCCATATTCCAGAGCCATGTGGGGTATGACATCCTGGCAGGATTACTGGTTAGATAACAGCAGAGACACCTTCCATCTGCTCATTAATTAATCGACTCAAAAGCAGCTCATTTACCTTAAATTGTGGAGATAGATAATTCTTTATGAACCAAAATTTCACTGGCCTTTGTGTTTTCTTTAAAACACTCAAGATCATAATTTTTAGGAAACGCTCGTACCTGCAACATGAAAATTTGCAGCTAAATCACATGTTCTCAAGTCATACCTTTCGGTATGATATTCTTCCAAGAGTAAAATGGTGTATGATGTGTAACTAGGATTTGCTGCAGCAACATTAGACTAGAGTGCAAGAATAGCTATTTGTGCAGTATACAGAATACTGCAAAAAACATGTGTTATTCTAATAACGACAGCAAGTAGTTCAAGGAAAAGAAAGGCAACAGTGCTAGCAGCTAACACGGAACATGGCTCTCAAGGTTAATCGCATAAGTGAGAAGTGTCAGCACGATAAACTATAACCAACAATGAACAGCATAGGCATCCACAGAGAATGCAATTCATATTTTCACGAAATGGACACTTACAGATGACCAGAAGCAACAGAAAAAATGTTAATTGTCTCCCCTTGTCTTGCATCCTTAAGGTCCTGAACAGAAGTGCAAAGCAAAACCGTTGGATTTTCTCTAAGCAACTAATGTGGAGTATGTAACCAGTAACATAAGATACAAACATGCATGAACTACCCTGTAACTTTTACATGTAGAACCATTATTCTACTCAAATTACTACATATGCGTATTACAGAAAATATCTTCATCGGCATTAGCAAGAGCAAAGGTGTAACTAGGAACAGTTCCATGATACCTTTCATCAAACAGATATATTCAGACTTCCTAACAAAGTTCAGTTTTCCCAAGTGTTTTAGGTTTTTGTATGCGCAGTGTAATTCCCTTTCAGTAAAATCAAATGTGTAACATAATCTATGTTTTCAGAAACTATCTCATTCTTTCAGTCATGTTTTTCCCCAAGGAATCACTGTACAGTTTATAGGCTGGTCTAGAATCCGTAGCAAAGTACTTCCATACATAACACTAGAGTAGATCTCTACACAATATTCCTGGAAGTTTTGGGTCCACCCCAGCAAGAAAATCATGAAAAATTGGACAATCAAATTTTCCTAGACCAAAGCTTGTTTCTGTAGCCTGATCGGAATAACATGCAGTGGAATTAAATAACTCACAGAAGAAATACTAACAGTGTTTTTCTCAGCTTTCTTTTTTAACGAGGCATCCCCACTAATGAAACTAGAAGCCCATTTCAAAAGGTTGGTATTCCACCCTTTATTATCCTGCATTAAAAAGCATTTAGGAAAAAATAATGTCTAGAATTGATATGTTTTACAACTAAATTAATAAAAACAGACCGTCTTTTCCTGGACATGGTTGTCATCATCAGCATTTAGCAAGTCCTCATGCTCCTTGCCCTTTTTCTTTTGCACTTCAATATGTAAAAGTTTGCCCCTCAGGCTATCTATGGCAATGAGTTTCGAAGGTAACTCATACAAATCAGCACTGCGCCCAGGAGCGAGTTGTAGGTACCACACCCCCGGGGAGACTTTCATCTGCCAATATCCCAAGTTGGACATGACAAGTGTGTCTACCAGGTGTGGTCTTTGTTTGGTGCCAAGGATAAACTGCAGACCACGAGGAGGTTCTCGATCCTTTTCCATGCAATGACCTGAAAAACAAATTCTGTTCGCTAAATAATCCACCACAATCAAAGAGATGATTATTAAATGATCATACCTGTAAGAAGAAGTGCTTCAAGTTCATATACTGCTTGCAATGTCCTAACATCACCGAGATTCTCCAACAGAATGTTATCCAGATCATGGCTGAAACACAGAAAACGACCACAATAATGTGATTAGACTCTACTGTAGAATATAAATTCTGATATTTTTCTTAATACTTGGTGGCTGGCTTACATGGCAACGACAGGCTCAACAAGCCAGGGCTCAGGAACATCGATGTTCATTGTAAGTGTTTTAGATAGCGGCATGTTTGAGAAGAAAGCTTTAGGTCCATGTACAGAAAAATCTGTACTGCTAAAATCATCCTGCATATCAAATGGTCAAGCATCATTGTAGGTAGTGGGGACGTTCTGGCTAGTAAATATGTGTACTCTTACCATCGACGGAAGAACAAATCTATAGTAGTTCTTTAAAGGAAGATCCGCAAGAGAACTCTGAAAATAATCAGAAAATGTTAGCATGAAATTTGTAGGATTGCAGCTAGCACAAGCTCAAGAATAGAAGCATTTCCATCCATGATCCACCTAGACATACTAATAAGGCTTCAAACAATACATCACACCATAGTTTCTCTACTCATAGACTTCAATTTCAAATAGAGATGGTAAATCATACTCCCTCTGTCCGGAATTACTCGTCGGAGAAATAAATAAAAATGGATGTATGTAAAACTAAAATACGTCTACATACATCCATTCCTTCGACAAGTATTTCTGGACGGAGGGAGTACTTTCTTACGATCAATAGGACAAACAAAAAACATGAAAAAAATGCTCATGGAGATGAACTGAGCATGATTTAATCAAATCAAGACACACAAAGAACTGAATAATTAACAGGATAAAAACAATTGTTTTACAGGGCTGTGGTCACTACAGATGCATACCAGACTAATTTTTGCTATAGTTGAGGCATGTCATTGCAATAACATGAAATTGTGTAAAAATATGATTGCGTACAATGATGAATGGATCATGCCAGCAAATCTCTAGCTCGTGAAGTTGGTTAAAATGTTCCAATTGTTGAACTGAATCAATTGATTGCAAGTATGACCACAACCAGATAGCTCAAGAACAGAGATAGGCCTCTGGACTATTAAGGTGCATCATCTAACCTTGGCAACAACTGAGTCATTTAAATGACTATAATTAGTTAAAAGACTTAATGTGTTCAGTAGCCTCGACAGGTAGAAAAAGATTAGATGCCCTGTTAGATTAGTTGGTTCATTTCTCATACTGATATTTCAGAACTTCAAAACAATAAAATTACCCAGCAGCAGTGGGTACAGATATCAATTAATTTTAGATGCAGAACATATGCTAACTGATAACAACGATAAAATATACATACAATTGGATTAAGGACAATTCTCATGCTCGGCTGAATCTGTCGAGAGAGAATGCGTAGAAGTGGAGAAAGTTTTTGCCCAGCAGGACTTAGAGGATCAATGACAGCATCAATGTGAACACTTGAATTCATACTATTCAGCTTAATTGCACTGCATGATAGAGAACAAAATGAGATCAAACTGTCTGAAGTTATCATAAATCCAAGAATAGTCCAAGTTTTAAGTAGGTTCAAGTGAAAACTCAGTGCTTGCAATTTACAGTTAGCTAAACAGGGACGCGACATGCATTTGAGCCGTGTGTGTGACTACTTTGTGTTTATCTTCATAGCTTTCAAGTTGAAAGCTCCTTGCATATATCTATAAATCATAAATGCGATGGGTGACTTAAGAATTAAGACCCAACATTTTGTGTTTGTCTTCACTGCTTTCAAGTTGAAAATTCCTTGCATATATAGATAAATCATAAATGTGATGGGTGACTTAAGAATTAAAACCCAAGCTCAAAACAGTTGAATAAAGTTTGAACATACTCCTAGCATTTCAAATCATAGCATCAGCATATATTATTATTAAAACAACAAAGTTACAAAACCCAGCATGACAGCATAATATCTGGCCATGATATTGACAAATGAATGGGATGGATCAGTTAAAATATGAACCAGGATAGATGAAACTTGTGTTCGCACACATTATTTCTTCTGGCATGCACATTAAACTGCAGGCAGCAAGAAATACTTACACCCAGTTATTTCAAACGAGATGTTTAAGACTTTAAAGCAGGATTATTACTCCAAGCTAAAATGATCCATGACGAGGTAAATTTCTCACTGACGATTCCAGAGTTAGTCAGAAACTATCTGTAGCCAAGTTATAAGTTCCTTCCTAAAGTGTAGTTTTAGTCAATAGAAGGTCAGTTGTAGTGCAGAACAATGGCCAGAATGTGTAATGTGCCTGGCACCTCATAGCAACATATATTCCAGCAGAATGTTTATACATGTAAAAGAAGAGGTAGTTTACCTGTATTCCGCATTTAAAATTTCAAAATGGGCTCTTTCAGATGGCCTTTCACGTATAGACATTGATGATGAGACCAACATGGTAATATCGCTGTAGAATTTGCTGCAAATAGGATGCATCAGTTAGGATTTTTTAAATAAAAATGTAAGGTTTTAGCATTATATCTTTATTATAAGCCTTTTGGATATAACTATTCCTTCAGGCACATATCAGAGCCGAGGCAATGTGTATCTTCGACGACGTGCAGCCCAACATTGCAAGCTTGCTCGACACAATCAGGCCGAAGTTCGATTGTGGGCGAAAACAGGGGCGGTGGGTCTAGCAGTGTTGCTCCTAGTGGCGCCCAGCACTAGTGCAGCATTGTGATTATGGATTCTGCCCTTCCTTGGGCTTGTACATAACTTTTCTTCTATCAATACATTGAGATGCAAAGCTTTTTGGGTTTTGTCGGAAAAATATTACTACTTCAGACGCATAACCTGTTAACTTTTAAATATATATATCCGTATTTAGCTGTCACCTAAAAAATGTGCTTATCCAGAGCTTGTCGTCTAATATATTAAAAGGGATGAACAGATAAAGGCACTACTGCTAGTGCAAATATGTACCTCACACTAATCATTCAATTGTAAATAATTAAACCCCTATAGGAAAGCCAATGAAACCATTGCACGCTTACATCTTACCTTGTCAGGTAATCAGGGTCAACTCCTCCCCATTCAACCTCCTCAATTATTTCATGTATGTATTTTGTTCGCAACTCATACTCCATAGACTCAAGGAGACCTAAATCGTCGTTTAAAAACGAGTCACCATCATCCACAACAAAAATCTGCAAGGTGGAATAACAGTCATAAACTACAGAAGCAGCTTACAAATCAGGTGGAAATAACCTTGAGGACACAAACATTCTTATCATCTAGTATGCTTAAGTAGTTGATCCCCACTACTTCTATTTATCTCAACATGCACACATGCCACCTCATCAACTCCACTACTTTTGTTCTCTCAACATGGAAAATGCTACTTATACTATTTTCTCAATATGCACACATCTCACTTCACCAATCCCACTACTTCTTATTTCTTTCAACATGCACGAGAAATATTGCTTATATTTTATATAAAAAATACAATTATATAATACTCCAATACAATAAATTATACTGTATATATTCTCGATCATTATTCTCATATTCAAATTTCAGACAACAAAATAATACAGCATTGACAAAATCAAATTCATATTACAAGGCCGATGAAAAAAATATACTTTCATAATGTATAATTGTTATGGATTTGTTCCTGTTTTCCTTATTTGATGCATGCTCAGTCGAGCTCGCACTTACTGCTACGCATCAAAATACGTTTTCTGTCTCTTTATTTAATATATATATGGTCAGTCAGGCTCCCCCCTACTAAAAATATAACAAATTTTATTTGAAGCACCATCAAAGAAATTGATGGGTGAAAGAGTCAAGTTGGAGACCGTGCTGATGACTTGTACTGAGACAAAGAGGGAGTATTTATGCATTGCCAGACACCAAAAGGACAAAGACCATGGAACTAGTTTGGATATGAACAGAAACAAAATGAGGGAAACATAGTCTTACTCGTCCATTGGTGATCACAGCATTGCTACCGAATTCAAGCCCCAGTTGCCCAAATAAAAAGTCTGACAACTGCACAACCAAATAAATATGCGTGAGAAGTTCTGAACAATATTGTTAGGAAACTGGCAGAAAAGTATTGACTTGAAAACTGAACATAGGAAAAGATTGTGAATCATTTTTGTGGTTCTTACCGAAAAATTGCCTGTTTACAGTAGGTTACCTTGTACTGTTTTGTCTGTTATTATTTTTTAGAGCATGCAGGAGCGCTGCATGTGTGTGTGTGTGTGTGTGTGTGTGTGTGTGTGTGTGTGTGTTAAGGTATAAAGAAATGGGAAAAAAATAAACAGTGGCTTTCATATGAAAGGCTAAACTCGTCTTGAACAATGAGTGAGACAGTGGCCAACTGGCACAAAGCAAGTAGTGATGACCTAGTATGCTTGTCATGAGTCCTGAGAGGATGCTACATCTAGATACATCCATTTCTACGACAAGTAATTCCAGGCGGAGGGAGTACTAAAATATAGTCTGGTTTCTGCTCAAATTTGGGCTCGTTTCTTACAGAAATTGAGTTAATACTGGGTCTAACATCAATTTCAATTCAAGCTTAACTTAAACACCTACAACCAACAAGTACATATGCATTGCAGTTTCTAGGGGCTCTTAAGCTAAAAGCCAAGCACAATGTTACTATGTTAGCCAAGCTAATATTAAGTTATGATGGCTAAAACTTCTGGAAATTCTACAGCTGATATGCTCGTTCAAGCCAAACTCTAGCTAGCTCCAATTTCCATAATGGTGAGCTTGACATGATCAATCAATCTCATAGACAAATTAAACTGAGACATGAAATGAGCAGAATAAAAATCAAGTCTTGATAGGGTTTGCTTGAACCCAGCTCAGTCCCTTAATGTATGTTAAGTTTCAAAGACACTTAAAGGTTAAAACTACAAAGTACACATACTAACAGTACAAAGAGAGAATTTCACAAAGAGGTCAAGAAAGCTCAGTCCTCAGATGCAGACCTTATCAATCCCTTCGAGAATTGTATCAGCAGAAAAACATGTAAGCCATGCTTTATAATCATCAACAGGCAAGGCAGTCTCAGCAGCTAAGCTATACACCTTGTCCTTAATAGAACTAAGCGTATCACCAGCAGCAGAAGAAGCAACCATATGTTGACCTTCATAATATTTGCAGAGCCCATATAGGAAGTCCAGTACCTTTTCCTTGCCACTAGAACAAGATGACTCACAAGATCAGAGACAAGCTTGATGTATTCAATGATGAGAGGAAAGAAAAAGTGATAGACTAAACCATTCTGAATCTCTACTGGAAAATGGACAAAAAAAAGGAAAGAAAAAGAGGAACAAACCTGAAAGAAGAAATGGTTCTATCAATGATATCCTTCATAAGTAAAATAGTGGAAATACTATCACTGCGGGCATAAAGTAGTAGACCAACACGAGCTCTATTAGACCCGTCCATCTGCATCGTGTTGAATAAAGGGACATAATCAGAAGAAAACAATATAAATAGCATGTTAGATAGGCAATTGCTTCATCTACCAGATAACGTATGGCTTCGTGAAGCAACTTGGTCCCGGTCACCAAAGAAAGATCAACAGCAAGTAGATGAGTTACGGGCTTCACATCATCTCCGCCTGCAAATAGATTTAACAACTACATTTCAACACCAGCGAACTTTGACGATAGATGACAAGGTACAGGCACAGAATAGTAGGAAGCATACTTCCATGGGAATGTAAGTAGCTGATATCATGAAGTACAGAATCTTCCTGGTGATACGATGCAAACAGTGAGACAAATCTCTTCTTCTCTGTGCTCTTGCCAGTAATCTGAGGGTAAATATTATATGGTTAAGTAAATCGAGAGCCAATGCCGCCACAGTTTTTTAGAAATATTGGTACTTACCGATGGGTTGTACCGCTTGTAACTACTTTCCGACAAAAATTTCTCCAAAACATCTGTATGGGACTGGATATGCCCATAATAGACCTGTTCTTGTATCCTAGGAAGCTCATCGTTCATAGCATTCATGGTCGCGTCCTTTAGAATATAAGAGTAGTAGAAAGGCACGACATTAGCTACTACTATTGCTTCAGCATTTTTGTGTAATTTCCTTAGTACCAGCGAATTTACTGCTGTTAAAGAAACATTCTAATGTAGAAAAGATGAATTTACCGTCTTAAATTTATATATTATGGAGGCTTGATGCTTCTCCAATTTTGACAATTTTTAAGTTAGATAGCCAATTATTACCTCATTAGGATCATGAACGAGTCCATTCATCAATAAACAACACTGGAGCTTATACAAGCCCAGTTTGTGAACAAAACGAGAATTTTCTTCAGCATCTTGCTTGTACAAGTTCTCCTTTTGCAACTTTAGCAGCACATCCTGAGGGTGAGATTTTGCACCTGACCTGCGCATTACAAAATACAAGTAACATAAGTAAATACACTGATTTTGTTTGGGCATTTAGAACCAACAATATATAAAATTTAGTGAACATGCTTACAATAATGAGTCAACAACTGCTTCCTCCACATGATGAACTTCTACGGGCTCTTCACTATAGTCATCACCACCATTCCTCAATCTATGTATCTGAACAAGAAAATATCACTGCACTTCAGCTATATGAAATTCAGGATATCTACAGACAGAGTACCGTTTGGCGGCCAGATTATTAACCAAAAAGGATACAAAGGCCATGATCATGGTAATGTTAACCATATAACGACAGGTTTCAAGTTGTAACACACTGCAATTACCTTGTTGAAGGGAACAATGAAAAACATTCAACATGACCCTAAAGTTATGCCATTATATTCTAATTTCTAAGAAGCTATGCCTGACATAAGTCCGCCACCCATCGCAAAAAATTCTGAAGAAACAAATATATAGCTATGCAAAGGAATCATTGACAGGATATATGGAACAAATCTCAACTTTTAGTTTCAGCGATAAAATCAGGAAAGGAACCATGTCAGCAAAAAAAATCAACGCAATGCAGGAGCCTGGTCTACATTTTTTAGCTTTGCCATTTCAGCCTAATGAGATCGAGAATCTGCAATATTAATGCTGGTTTCAGTACTCGTAGGAAGATATGTGATGATGCAAATTTGGATCCTTGAGGGTACCCTCCGACCCTCCTTAGTTCAACTAAATAAATTAAATTTTCGGAATTCACATATTTTTGAAATTTTAGTTCATTTGGTTGAACTAAGTAGGGCCGAAGGGTACCCTAAAGGTTCCAAATTTGCATGCCTAAAGATATGGAATGAAACCACTACAAACAGTAGCGCGGCGTGCTCAAAACAAGCACTGATCTAGTAATACAACAAAAGATGTATTCCGTTGAGAAGGAGGCAGCAGGTGGCACGACTGATGGAGGCAGCCAGTGGGGGTGAGAACAATAAAACCCTAGGAGCTGGAGCTAGCAA